AACCTACTAGCGATCGCCTCCAATCTACTAGCGAAGGACTCCAACCTACTAGCAGTGGCCTCCTACCTACTAGCGATGGCGTCCAACCTAAGAAGGACTCCAACCGCCTCCAACCTAGCTAGCGATGGCCTCCAACCTACTAGCGAAGGACTCCAACCTACTAGCGATGGCCTCCAACCTACTAACGATTCACGATGGACTCCAACCTACTAGTGATAGACTCCTACTAGCGATGGCCTCCAACCTACTACCGATGGACCCCAACCTACTAGCTCCAACCTATAGCAGTGGCCTCCAACCCACTAGCGATGGCCTCAAACCTACTATATTATAGCGATGGACTCCAAACTACTAGCGATGGCCTCCAACCTACTAGCGATGGCCTCCACCTAATAGCGGGCGTGCTGAGAGCTAGGCAACATGTTCACCTTGCACCGGCCCTTGGTGAGGAGCATGCTATGGGAGCAGTTGGCCTGAGCTATGCGAAGTGGTTTCCAGATCTCAGAGAATCTGTGTCTGCTCCGATCCTGCACAATCCCAAGAAGCACACTCGCCTGTGGTTTGTGAAGCGATCTGGACTCCAAGACCTTCAGTGTCCTGCAAAGCATCGATGTCTGCTGTGCGTCATCCCAGCCGTCCCTCCACTTGAGTGGATATCGTTGGATGCTGTGCTTTTGTTGGTCGCCCTCCTGCAAATTATATAGTACAGTAGGTATCGCAGTATCCTACAATGACGCTTTTTCTAAGTAGTCACTACCACAAGGTGGTACTGTTTTTCGCTGGCGTTGACTGAACCTTCAGGGAAATGGCAAGAGATTGCCTTTGCTTGGTGTTCAGGCTTGTCAACTCAAATAACTTGCCTGCCATGGCACCTCTCTGTCAAACTCTCAACACACAAAAAGGAGGTGTTCTGAATTGCTTCCTATCTCGAGTGGTCACCTTCCATGATCTTAGTTAAAACAATTGCGGAGCCTGAAGCGTGGGTCTTCCTGGAAAATCTTCCACCTGGAATCGTGCTTTCGAAAGCACGAGTGGTATTCGAATCGTTTTCGCGAACCTGGTGAAACCTTGCTGTTCAGAAATGTCTGAGGCTCTGGCAGAGGCTTGGTGATGCTCGCCTCAGGTTGGACTCCAAGGACCTCGCCTAACCTTCCCTTTTTCGACGCCACGTCGCGCGAGACGCCGCGTCGCGCGCAGGCTGAATGGAGCCGTGGCGCTGTAATGAGCGAGTAGCGCAGGCGCTTCCGGTATCTGACGCGTCCGGAACGCTGTCGACAGCGGCAGGCGAAGACAGGATCTCGCCACGCAGCTGTCAACAGGAACCCTCTTCGTGGACTGGGCTTCTTCGTTCGCAGACGAAGCTTCGTTGGTCATTGTCCGTTTCGGGTCTTAGAACTTGTACGATGTACAGAACGATGAAAACGAAGTGTTTCTCTAGTGCCAAGCTTGCATGAACAGGCCTGGATTCTTCTTGAACGAGATCCAGAATCTTGTAGAGATCTTCAAAGCCCTGTGTCAGCAAGAAGTCAGCCTCGGCGATGTCCAAGCCCTGTGTGTTCTTTCAACCAGCAGCAACAAAGACATCAACCGAAAATCATCATGGTTCTGGCATGTTCTGGCTGTGATAGCTGGAGAATCCTTCTCAGCAGTGTCGAAAAACCAGCTTTGCAAGTTGGAACCAGAGTTGCCGAATTCCCTCCACTCTCAGCTGAAATGCTCTTATCCTTATCCTAGAATGCACCCACCAAGCGTATCTGTTTCTTATTTTGCATTTGTCTCAATCAATCTTTTGAAAATCGCCAAACCTGGCCCACTGAAGACCTGGGCATTCCGCGGCGGGAGAAGCTGTTCAGCGCCGTTCATTTCGCATCCGAGATGAGTCTTCGGCAGCCGAGGTCACTTTGGTGACGTTGGCGTCAAGAGTCTTGACGTGAAACACAAATTTACAAATTGACTTGTTCATTGTTTTGAAAAGGGAAGAAAGCCTGCGTTTTCGTCATTCTTCAAGTGTTTTGAGTTTGGCTCCACATGGAAATTCCCTGAATCTCCCTGATGTTGGGGCTTCATCTTAGATGCAAAGCCCACAGCTTTCAGGGCAGAGATCGGCAAAGGGTCGGAACAAATCTGGGTGCCCCTCGCACCACTTGGCACCTGTGTGCCATTCAAAAGGCTCTTTCAGCAAGTAGCCACAACCTTCTGACTTCATTCCCTGAACGCTTTGCTGCAGCTGCGAAGCGGCTGACGTCTCATCCTGGCTCAGGTTTCTCTTCAAGAAGCCGGACAAGACAGGTACATACTCGTCCCAAAGATCATTCCAGGTCTGATTGGAGACCACATTATCACAAGGGTTGTTCAGGAGGCTTGGCGCGCTCTGCGCCAGGCATTTGGAAGAACATCCTTGTGCTTCCACTCTGTACCAGGGCGATTTGAGCTCTGTACATCCGCAGGTGACTCCACAGGCCAGTCTCAGAAGCCTCGCCGATGGCTCCAGGCACCTGTCGGCCATCTCTTCGCAGCTGGGAGCTTCGGTCTCACCGGGCGCCACGAGCAGAGCTCGAGCTGCGGAGCTCCGAAGCAACGCCCAGGTGGCGTCGCTCTCGTTGGAGCTCAGCTCCCAGCAGGGCGCCTTCTGCGCCTCCTGCTGCATGGTCCTCGAGGTATCCAGCCAAAAGCGGCGAGCTTCGGTGAAGATCAGAGGCTTCCAGCAGGAACCAGAGGAACAGGCGGAACTGGAGCTGAATTTGTAGTCTTCGACTGCGCGAACTGCAGGCACCTCTGCCATTTCTCTCATGGCATATGTCAGTTGGGTATCAGGATTATATGAAGCCACAAAGTCCAAGTGTCCAGCACATAGCTCACGTTTCACTTGAAGAAACAAACTCTCCCGTGGACCTATGAGCTGGGAATATGTGACCAAAAGCACAGTTGCTATCAAGAAAGCACCCAGAAAAGCCTCCATCTGACTATGTACTCGGCTGTATGTCAACTGAAAAGGAGGAAACTTCTGAATACCCAGCTTGATCTCCATTGGCATGATTGCAGCAAAGACGTGTTTGTCGATATTGAGGATCATCGGAAAGGCTGCTGTCATGAACATCATCTCCAAGAGAGAGGTGGTTTTCGCCAGCCAAAGTACACCACCAGCCAAAAGAGCGCTTGCAATGGCTGTGCGCAGGAAGTACACAAAAATTAGAGACCACACACGGCAGGACGACACGGACACTGTTCTCCCTTCAGTGCTCTCCTCAGACCTGGGTGCCCAATACAAACCCTGACAGGTCAGCCAGTACATCCTCACTTCCTTCATGACCATCAGACTCCAAAGGAAGATGCACAAGATACACATCACTGAGCCCGGACGAAAAGCAGAAGTCATCTCCAAGTCATTGGGCCGGAGCGCCAAGTGATCATTGATCTCTCGTAGCTTGGAACCCCAAAAGCCTTCAAAATTCTCACAGACGCGCCAAGCCCAACTGTGACCCGACAAGTCCATGAACTTCGCATCATGAGCCATCCGGTTTCGCCACAAACGGGCCTCCATCAATTGCTCCTGACAGGGTGGTAGATGACGCGGGCTTGGTCAACTCCTAACAAACAAATGGACGGAATCCCCAAAACCTTGGTAACTATGTTTGATGGTCCTCTCCAAACCCACTCGAAGAAAATGGGGCTCAAACCAGAAGCCAGCTACGTCATCCCCACATCAGCGGCGCCCATCATGGCCAATCCGCTGTGTCCCGTTCCAATTCACAGCCACCAAACACACCCAACCACCAAACGCACCAAACACCACACCCGACCTCTGGAGGTCGGAGGAAAGCCTGTGAGAGCAAGATCCCAAGGAAGAGGCTTTGAGCAATGATGGTCATGAGTGCCAGCCCTCCGGACACGAAGCAATCGAAGAATCCATTGAAGGAGCCTCAGAAAAATCTAAGACTGAAGGAAGGAGCCGTCATAGTAGGCTCAAATGGTTTCTTTTTGCACCCGCTCCCCTCCCCTCCCTACTTAATTAAGTAGGCACTTACTTAATAAAGCAAGGGAGAGCTAGTACCATACTTGAGCTACTAGCATGGACGCAGGATAGCTCACGCTTCTTCAAGGAAGCTCCCCCGCTCCTAGATTTTTAGCGATGCCCCTCACATGTTCGCAGTCCTTTAGAGATCCTTTTGACAGCAATTGACAGACATTGCAAGAGTGCAAACACGATGCGCACGAAATCCGTGAAGAGAATGTGGATCTGTCTCATCTCCCACTCCACTCCACTCAGGTCTAGGAGCTCTTCTCCAGGCCCACGACGACTGCCAGACTCCAAACGCTCTCATCCAAGCTCACCTTCACCAAGCCCGGCTCCTTCCCATTCCGCTCCTCAGGATCCACTGGCGGTCCCGGCTGTGGCGGCTTCTCGTCGTCCGACACCGGCGCGTCCGGCTGCGGGTCGGTGGCGGCCTGGGGTGTTTCTGGTGGCCATAAATGGAACAAAACATCTAACATCACATCTACTTGAAAAGTCCATCTAAGAATCTAAAAGATATACCGATATACCAGCTATTTGTTCAAGACAAAATGAAGTGCTTTGTGCTTTTTGGGTCTGCCAGCACCCAAACAACACATGCCTACGCGGAGGTCCAGAAAAAAGAAGCCTAAAGTGGTGCCAATGCCAATGGGACCGAAGGTTGTTAGCAAGGTTTACGCCAACTTCTAAGCCCACTCTTCTGTTTTTCCACCGAAGTTGAATATCTTCAAGGCTTGAACGGAATGGAAGGCTCACTGCTCAGAGGTTTCTGAGGTTTCTTGCTCTTTCTTCCCAGAGTGGCTGGAACAGCAATCAAGCTGTCGGGCTCCTTTTTGTCGATCTTTTTGGAAGCCAGGAGTGCAGCCAACGACGATGGCACGTCGTAGGTGGCAAACGACGAACATGACCCCCGGGGGGACTACAGCAGGTGCAATGCCGCCGGTGGTTTATGCTTGCATATGCTTGCTTACGATTGCTTACGGCAGTTTTGACTTCCCACTTGCCCTTGATTAATGTGTGTAACTCAATCAACCTGATCCGCGGGAACAAACGTCGGCAATCCTGACTTGCAAGTGCCTGGACAAGGTCGAGAAAACTGCGATGGCAGCCAAGCAGCCAAGTCTTCCAACTCATGTGATATGCAAGTGTGATCAAGCGTGCAGCATGGCTGTCACGCTCGTTTAAATCCTTTCACAACTGTTGCGGCGCACGGAGTTTTGTCTTGCACATTGCATCACTTAAAAGGGCCGTTTGGGCGAACTACACTCAGTATACCAGCAAGCGCAGTCCGTACTTTCTGTGAACAGTGGAAGCACATTCATGTCGCCCGACAGGTTTCGGCCGATCCAACCAGCCCCGGCCGGCGTGGGCCCTCTTCCTTGGTGCATGTGCTTCCTGCAGTGTGTGGACTCGGAGCAACTGGTGCGTCAACGGCGCGTGCTTTCCAAGGCCGACACCCGCGGACTTCGTCGTGGTCCGAGGCTGGCCACGGATCGTTTCTTCTCGAGAAAACACGGCCCAGTCACCAGTCCTTCCCCGCAACAGCCCAGCCTCAAGGTGGCTCAAACGATCTTGAATATTTCGTAGCTCCAGTTCCAGGACCTCGATCATTCCGGTCGACATGGCTGGATGGTGACCGAAAAAGGTCACTACGATAAGACCGGCCGCAAGATTGGATGGGTCACGGTTATGGAGTCGCCGAACGGCGCCCCCGAAATGCCCTCGTTAGGTCCTGGTTTCGAACTGCCTCTGGTTCGTAACGAAACGACCGCTCTCGTTTGTTGAGTCGTTCTTTGTCCTGCCCCGGTACTTGAGTGGCTCTTTTCTGTGTATGGCTGGGGTCTAAATCTGATCCACCAAGTCCATGAGTTGTCTAGCTTCTCTTTGACCAGCAAACTCACTTGCTCTGAGCCAAAACGGTTTTAGGAAGGCGTTAGGAAGGCGCATCCTCAAAAGCCATCTTTGAAAGGCCGTTCGAAGTTGCGATCTACTCTGCAATACTTACAGAGAGGGAGAGAGAGGGAAAAAACAAAGAGACTCTGAGAGACCTGACTGAGCAAGACTCAGATCTGAGAGAGTTCTTTTCTGAGTTGTCTTCCTGTTTCCTAACTCAAGATCTGTCTTTGCAACGCTCGACAGGTTCTGAAACTTGAGCAAGCTGGGTGCAAAGAGCTATCTCATGGCATGACCTATGTCCCAAGCAAGCAAGAACATCATAATGCAAAAGCAAAACGGCGATGGTTGGCAGAGTGGTACAAGTATGGGATTGGAACATGAAGAGAGCTCACTGCCGCCGCCCCAAGCGCTTCACATTGTATGAAGGCTGGGGAAGCTTGCTTCGTCAATGGCGATGAAGGCGACCTCTTGCAGTCTGATGTCTTTGCTCTCGTGGAACTTCAAGAGCCTCACACAGCGGCTGTGGTTCCATCAGTTTGATCATCCGTGGTTCTGGATTCCTCAGTTGCTCCGCGTTGCTCACTGTTATATAGTAGTGTCCTTGATCCTACTAGTAGTAGCGATGCCAGGAGCCTCTACTAGCGTCCTTGCTCCTATTCGGCCCTTTGCCCCTCTGATGCGCTTCATGCTGCGGACTTTTCCGTCAGCCCAGGTCGAAGACCATTCGACGTCCACCATCTCCAAGCGCCAGCGCCTGCTCTCTCGCACTGGGCTGCCCATTTACTCAGAACTTCGCACATTTCCAAAGACCAACCAGCATGGTCTCAACATGGTCAAAGCTTTGCAATGGAGCCTCCAAAGCTACAAACACAGCCTCACTTGGAAGCCCTAAGCAGCGCGGCTAAACGCAAGACCAAGGCGGCTAGGACGCTCCAACGGCCCGCTTTCCCCGTATATCATATCTCACCCAGGCCTCAATGGCTGGCTCAGCACCTGTTCTGATCCGGTCCAGCACGAGCGCCACCGAACGCCACCTGCAGAATGCTCCACCGAAGGCCACCCTGCAGGTGGGTCCTAGAAGCAAGGATGCTACATCCGGTGGAGGCCATCCCAAGCAGGTTGGAGGCCATCGCTACGAACGGAGCAAGGACGCTACTAGCCTTCTTGGTTCTTCTTTCCATTCAAGAATGCATGCATCATTGCTTTTCTTGGAGAGCCAGTAAGAAAAGCACATGTCAAGCACACGAAAAATGCTGGCCCCACCATGCCTTGTTCCGGCTGCGGCTGCTGCCTGCAGGCTCTTGGGTGTCTACGCAATGTTGTTTTGGGCATTGCAACTACGACACGGCCAACGGTCCGGCCTGGCCAAAGGTCATGAATGGACGGCCCAACGTGAAGGCCTGGTGAAACGGGTCACTGAGAGGATGAGAGGATGCACTTGTCATCCACAACAGCAAATCTTGTACTGCTGATCTAACCTCCGTTTAAGAGACATCAAAAATCATAAATAGATGTATAATGTATATCGTTATTATATATGTATATAAGTTATGTATGGGAGGGTAAACCCCGGAACCCGTCAACCTGGTACTGCGGTATGGTCGGAAGACACTCCTCACTTTAGCCATGCGTCCCGCCTCACCATCATTGCAAAGAAGCCAAGCGACTTTGCTATCCTGAGGTTTTTGCCGGGGAAAGGGTCTTCAAAAAATTTGATCTCCACACAACATCCCATCACAATCTAAAAGGAAAGGCAAACCCTACCGGATGGGCAAGCAACTTTGGCAAATGCATCTTTACAAACTGTGAAGTCCCAAAAATTGAATAGCACCGGTCTCGGAAAATCCCATCTGCTCCCTTGCAACACAACCATCTGTGCCTGCTCCTCAGCCCAAGGGATGAACGTCTCGGACAAAAAGCGTTCTTCCGCTCGACCTTTGCCGTTTGATGCGGAAGCTCACATCCACAGAGGACATCATGTTGAGGGGAAATGAAGACTCCCTGTTTGTACTTGGAGTGGTGAGCAGCAGCGGGTTGAAGTCACATGGATCAGAAGCAGACTCTAACAACATGCTTTCGCACATCACAGTCGCGTTTTCGTCACGTTCGTCTTTCTCTCTAAGAAAGCAGCAGAGGTCTTCTTGCAAAGTTGTTTGGGTCTCAGATGCCTTGGATCAAAACAAACCCTTAGAGCCAAACCCAAACCTGACGCTTTCAAATAAGCAACGTCTGCATGGTCAGCATCCAAACGCACTTGACTCAAAAATAAATTGTTCAAAGAAACATAGCACAACAACATCAGTAGGACAAGATGCGCAATTGCAAGCCAAAGCCTTCAGACCCTCGCCTCTTTGACCACAACTGCTCAACCGGGATCCCCAACCTCGCTTGGCTGCCAAATGAAGGCCTGGCGAAGTGACACTCAGCTGCTAGGTTAGACCACGCACCTCTGTTTCAACACACAGGCTTTGCAACGTTCCTTACAAATGTAAGCGCAAAGTGAGGAAATATGGCGGCAAATGTAGGTCGGGGAACTGACTTATGATCGTGGGGCTGCCCGATCCGCTGGTCCGTTGATCCGCTGCGCCGCTGATCCGACGATCCATTGTTCCAACGATCCGTTGATCCGCAAGGCCGCGGTCCGCTGATCTGCTGATCCGACGATCCGCTGATCTACTGATCCGATGACAGGCCCTTGGACACTCAAAACACGATTTGGGCATCATTTCTGACGGCAAGATACACTGTGCCTAGACTGTTGACAAGCATCTGGACCTGGCCACGACAATTCGAAGTCATATGTGGAACAGGTAGCCTGGTGTCTATAGGGCTCTTGGACAAGGAAAGAAGTTCTCACTTTTTGCGCAACATGCCGCGCACGAAAAAGCACCCGAAGTCTCTTCCAGCTCACCCTCCAAGCCGTGAACAGTTGCACCAGCCTAAGCTTGGACGTGGTTGGTACCTGGCTTTGGAAATCGATTCATATATGCATGTGCTTTGGTTGATGGCAGTAAGCAGACAGCCTGGCGAACGAAAACTCACAGACAAATGATCTGATTTGGTTCAACCGATCAGCGTGACGCGGCAAAGCGGGATGGCGCGTTTCCAGCTGAGCGCGTCAGTATGATTTCCCATGTAGAACGGGTCCGCCCATTGCTGAGGGCGGCTGAAAAAGGGCAACAAGAAGGCAATAGAAGGACGCGAGGAGGACAGAACTGGAGCCAGCTTCTTTAGGACAAGGAGAGGACATCGGGTTCTGCCGCTATTGTTTTCTCGCGCTGGGCAGCTTCCCGTGCGCAAGCTGTCATGGCGTCATGTCTACACGCTGCCACCTTGCCCGGGAAAACAGGAGGGCGAGAAGGGGACGAAAGAAAAAGGAGGCAAGAAGAGGATAGCAAGAGCGCAAGAGCAGGACAAGGGACAAAAAGAATACAACAAAAGCTGAGACGTAGAACCCCAGCAGTTTTCGCATGACTGGTTGCGAATCTTGCAGCGCAGAGTCTGGAAGAAAGTTGGCAAGCGGCCTGCATTTTCCTGGAGATCTGCCGCTGCCCCAGTGTCAGAAACGACAAGTTACTTCAATTGTCGCCTCGCGCACGGCACTTGACCACTCACTCCCGTCCCGACACCAGGTATCCAAGCATTTGGCTTCAGGCTTCCAGGAATACGCGCTCAAATAGGCCTTTGCGTGGTGCGTTTAACTGCCAACGCGCACGTCTGTCAAACCTGGCCACGCTTTTCTCTGGCGTCTGCAAATTACTATTTACAAAGACACATTTCGTGAGGTTTTTTGCAAGAGGCTGCACATGAATACCATTTGCCTTGAAAGATATTCTATATTTGTTTGACAAAAGGAAGGTGCAGGTTTCACCTAAGCTTCCCAAACCCCAGCCACCCTTGCCACACGCCTGGTGACCTGCTTTAAGTCATTGGCACACCGGTCGGTGGCACCACTCTTGAGGAGTTGCGCTTGCACTTGCTGTTGACAACGCCGCGCCCTTCGGCCTGACAATGTGGAATATGGTGCGAAATCGTAGAGAGCAAGTTACGTTCACTCTTGTGGGACACTCTTGCGGAACACTCTTGTAGGACACTGTTGTGGGAAAGCCTTGTCGGACAATCTTGTGGGCCAGATCTTGTAGGGCACTCTTGTGGCACTCTTGCAGGACACTCCTGTCGGACATTGTTGTGGGACACTCTTGCAGGACATTCTTGTGGGACACTCTTGTTTGTCACTCTTGTGGGACACTCTTGTGTGACACTCTTGCGGGTCTTGTGGGACACTTTGCGAAACACTCTTGTAGGACTCTCTTGTGGGACACTCTTGTGGAACACTCTTGTGGGACACTCTTATGGGACTCCCTTGTAGGAAGCTCTTGTAAAGCACCCTTGCCGGACACCCCCGTGATGGACCAGTCTTGTAGGACACTCTTGTCCGACACTCTTGCGGGACACTCTTGTAGGGCACTCTTGTCGAGCACTCTTGTGGACACTCTGACTGGCGGACGGTGGGCGCAACCAAACCACATCTCCCATAGACCACAAACCACCTGGGAGGTTGCATGGACACCCCTCCACCTGTAAGGGGCAGCGTGGGCTCTACATGGAAGCCCCAGTTCGAGTGTCCCGGTCTGTGCGTCCTTCCTGGAGCCCAACTTTCGTCTTCGGCTGTCGCGGTACTCCAACCTTGCGGCCATGCTGCAACAAGGGATCTCTGAAAGCGCATTCTTGGCAATCCCCACCCCACCGAAAGACAGGACAACAAACGCCTGGGCCCATTGCGCGCCACAACTCGCAACCTCACGATTCCCTGCCCCTGCCACGAAAATTTACGCGTCCACGCGTCTGACACGATTCCCTGCGCCTGCCACGCAAATCGCACTTCCACACCTCAAAACCCTCACAATGTACTGCCCCTGCCAGGAAAAGCGACAATCATATCATGGGAGCTTCAACAGAATTTGCACCACGCCACACCACACGTTTGGAATGATTTCGACGCGTTCTGACCACACTCCCATCCACCAATATCGCCATTTCGGCTGAGACTTGTCGCGAAAACACAGCTTCGATGCAACACCCTGAAACGCAAATCCGAATGTCACAGCCACATCTAAAAACGCTGCGCCTTCAACATCTTACGTCCCCACACGTTTCCTCGCTATTTCACACGAATCTGACACGTCATGCTTCCATCCAAGCCCCCTCCAGACAGATTCTCAGCCCGACCGCGAACGGCTGCGGACGGTTGCGAACGGTTGACAACGGTTGCGAACGCTACGACAACGAGTCGCGAACAAGGCTCTATACCCCCAGAGTTAAACAAGAACCCTTCACTACGCATTAGGGAAAAAACCGTGCGCAAAAAGGATCATGAGATACGAGGTGTGGATCATGGAACCTCCAAAACTCCTGTTTCACTTCTGGGTATAGTATAGATATGGTGAATCCTGGTCACATTGATTGGTGGTCCTGCAATGGGTTTCTAAGGGAATTGACGAAGTCGAAAGGGAATCGCACGCTTGGTAGTCCTCGTCTTTCTGCTCCAAGCCAGCGGTCACTAGCCCTTCCTCGGTGGACGCCACCAACGGAACAAGGAGCGGGTGGTCCGACAGCATGTCGGTGTCCCCGTCGAAAAGTCGCCCCCGGCCACGCAGTTGCGGCCACCGTCAGCGGAAACGTAGACTGCGTTGTTGGCAAGGGGACGTCGGAAGGTGGCTCCTTGGCCGGCCAGACCTGGTCGATCAACCGTCAAGCGCAAGACATGGAAAAGCATGTTTCTCCAACACAATTTACTGTTTGCGTTCCGTCTTAAGACAAAAGCTGTCCACACTGGCTCGCGCCCCTTAACTCAGTGTCCGGGGGAGCTTGTCCTCTTGCGTCCTCTCGCCCTTCTCCTGCCCTCCTCTAGTACCCCTTGCCCTCCTCTTATCCACCTCTTGTCCTTCTTTTGTCGTGCTCTTGTCCTCCTCTTGTTTTTCTCTTGCCCTTCTCTTGCCCGCTTCTTGTCATCCTCTTCTCCTCTTCTCCTCCTGTTGTGATCTTCGTGTCCTCCTCTTCTCTTGTCCTGCGGTTGTCCCCTGTCGTCTTGTTTTGTCATTCTTTTTGACTCTCTCCCTTCTCTTGGCCTGTTGCTGTGCTCCTCTTGTGCCGTTGTTGCCTTGTCATCCTCTTGTCCTTCCCTTGTCCTTTTCTCGCGCTCCTTTTTCTCGCTGTTGTCTGCCCGCGCTGCCCAACCCTGTGTCCTCCTCTTGTCTTTCTCTTGTCTTCCTCTTGTCTTTCTCTTGTTTTGCTCTTGTCCTCCTCGTGTCCTGCGCCGCGCTGAGCAATCCTGTGTCCTCTTCTTGTCCTGCTTTTGTCTTCCTCTCTGTCGTTTCCGGGCGTTGTCCTCCTGTTCGCTGTCCTCTCTTCCCACTTATGGTCCTCCTCTTGTCCTCCCGTTGTTGTCTTTGCCTGTTGTTGCCCCCTTGTTGCGCTTTTGTCGGTGTCTAGACGACAGCGTGGCAGCGTGAAAAACGGACACCACCGTGCGCAATCAAAGGGTCTAATGCGATAAAAAAATTGCGCGCGCAAGCCCTGTGTGGCGCTTAATGGGAAAGCCCCCGGTTTTTGGTCTCTCGCTGTGTTCTTGTTGCTTTTCCTCCCTCCACTGTCCTGGTAGACTTCCTCGTGCCCTTGTCTGGTGTTTCTGTTGTCTTGCTGCTGTCGCCGCTGTTTACGTTGTTTTCGATGGAGGGGCTGTGGCTGCAGGCGCCCACCACAACAACAACAGCAGCAGCAACAACAACAAGTCTTGCCGATTAAGCTGTTTGGGGTCTACGCCGGTCTCATTTTACGGCAACTCCTCTGGAAAACTTGTTCCAAAACCAAATGCACATGTATACACAGATGGCGCAGGAAAACACGCCGCAGAGTTCTGTTGGTTTTACAAACAGTCAATCAAGACATTGATCTGTCAAGCCAGGAAGTAGCTTGGATGAGTGCTCAAAATCCAAAAAGGAAGAAAAAGAAACACTTGTACACCTGCTTGAAGCCTGTTAAATACACAGAACATGCGCGCGCACGTTGCCACCACGGCGCCTGGCTCCCTGAGCTATTCTGCCACCACTTGCTCTTGGATGGTTTTGCTTACTTTGCTCTTCGCAATCTTGCCCAATTGTCGGGCAATGGGGTCTGCAAAAATTGTTAGGCTGCTGTTTCGAATCTGTGAATAGTTGACATTGATGGTGAAGGCCACCAAAGGGCTTGCGCTTGCCGGGAAGATGGGCACCTGCGCTGAGGACATCACTCCCAGATGGGCTTCATGTGCAACGCGACTCAACAAAATCCCCAGGCCTGCGCTGTAGACCCAATAAAAACTCACAAAGAAAGTTTGGGAGAGACCGAGACAGAGACAGAGAGACAGAGGCACAGAGACAAACAGATGCCCAGAGACACAGCGGAACAGACGCACAAGGGACAGAGTGTGTGGCGTGGGTTGGCGCCCTTGGGATTCTCTAGAAAGGAACTATAACCTTGCGGCTTAACAGGGTGGTGTCCTTGGCACCTTTAGACGGACAATAGAAAGGGTTGACTGGTGGACCGGCCGGACTGGCCCGGACTATCTAGGGACGGATAGACAAACAGAGAGACGGAGAGACAGAGAGACACACAGAGAGACACAGAGACAGAGAGACAGAGAGACACACAGACAGCCCGACAGCCCGACAGCCCGACAGCCCGACAGCCCGACAGCCCGACAGCC